CATGATTGTTGGAAATGGAATGCAACAGCATTTGGTTTGTGTTTCCCTTATCATAGTTCTGAGGACTCGCGCAGGTCGGAAGTCTCACTGTAAACAGACGGAAACGCAGAAAGACAGGGGCGGTCATAGTTCCCACAAAGGGACTCGTGGCGGTGCTGCCACCGGTCTGCATTTCAGATTCAGCCTAGCCAAGATCCCAGACTTCCTTTGCTGACAATATATATGCGTCCATATCTATTGTCGGTCTGAGGAAGTCTGGTATCTTGGCTAAGCGCTTGGTGGTTGTGACCGAAATGAAGGTCTCGGTTGATTCTGTGGCAATCGCTAGATCCTTGGAAGCACATCCTTGGTTTACAGTTGGTCGATGCAGAACAGACCCAAAGTGCTGGCATGTCGGTCGCTTGCATCATCGTACTCGGCTGCTGGCAGCACCTGAAGCTGCCATCGAGCGCCTGGGTTCCATAATGAATTACCAGTACGATGCCTGTGCTGGTCTTACCCCGGCACAGGCGGTCGATCGCCTGCTCTTGGATCTCTGGAAACACATAGTAAAGTATTTGTTTAGTTCTAGTGTTGATTCATCAATTATTCAATGTATTTTTGATTAGACAGAGAAAAACACGAGCCTGAAATTGCCTGTCTGAGGCCCAAGGTGGGCTGCACATGCTGGGCTCGGACCGCGATGAAATCCTCAAAGCTGCAGTCTGCCGGTCGATCATGTCGGTCCGCAAACGAGCCCGAGGAGGAGGACCCACTGAGCAGATCCGCCAGAAGAACAATGCTGTGCGTCTGTCTGGACGGTCGTTTGAAGAGCTTTCTGGGCACAGCCGTCAGGACATGGCAGAACTGCTGGATCCACTGCTCCCACAAGACATCGATGGTGGATTGTCGGTCGTCTTGAGGAACATTCAGCAGCAACATTCTTCGTCATTGCCGTGTGATCTTCCTGATGTTCTCCAGCAAGCTGTGCAGAAGGCGGTCGTTGGCGGGTCATCAGCCTGCACATAGTATTAGTTTATTATTTGACTCAATCATGACATGTACTAATCAAATGTAAGGAATCAACTTAATTGTTAAAAAAATACAACTCTACAGTATTCAAGTTGACTGGAAGGACCAGAGAGCCAAGGAAAGTGCAACTGCTGCCAACCTCAGTGCAGGTCCTGCACGCTCAGCAGAAGTCGGTCGCCTCCTCTGTTATGAGAGACTACTTGAAAGAGTGGCTGGAATCAGAGGATGGCAAGAAGTACCAAGCCAGTCGGGCTAAGCTTTGGAAGTGAGCTGGTCGCTGCTGAGAAAAAATGCCGACGATGTTGTGAACACTGCATTTGTGTACCAAGATCTAGCTCGGTCACTTTTCGAGTGAGTCACGTCACCCAGGCCATGACTGGATCGCCGGTCACTGCTGCACAAAGGACTGGGCCGTGTGTTGCATATGAAGCACTAGCTCGGTTGGTGATCATGTCTTTTGCAAAGCACCAGGCCATCATGGTGCCCAAGCTGCAGAACCATTTTTCTGTCAGCAAAGTGGTTCTTCAGGTTGGGCACTAGGTGCTTCAGTGGTCTCGTCGGACCCCCAGCTGTTTGTTTGCTGCACTCCTCCTGATTTCTCTCACATGTTATCTTCAGTCAAGCAGGCCGGTCAATGCCATAAGATGAAGATCCGAAGCAACCCTGGCCCACGACTGTCCGGCACTGCCGGGCGATCGTGGATCCGAGTTGCTTTGCATCTCCAGCTGGTGGCATGTTGGAAGCTCAGACCTTCTTTAGTAACCTGACCGTCCTGTGATTAGCTCGTACAATGACAAAGAATCAGAGCTCATGTGGCCCAGGCCGTGGTTGCCGTGCTGGTCGCTGCCACTGAAAGAAAGACAACGAGGCGATGTGTAAGCCCTTTGTCGGTCGATCACAAGGCGATGCTGTCACGATGGCATGGCCTTCTGCTTGACTCTGTCTGTCTGACTTGCCAGTTGTGCTTCAGCTCTTATAGCATCATCGACCACACATCACTTAGAGAGTTTCTTGCACAACAAGCCTTGGGACTGAACAAAGCCATTGCACGGCAGCATCAGCGTATCATCATACCTATAATATACATGAGAACTTCACTTGAGACTAGACTTTAGACATGGAGCAGATGGAGCTCCTTTCGGAGTCTGAGTCCATGTCGGTCGACCTCCAGATATGTTCAGGCAGCGAAAGCTTGAAGAGCTGGTCGCCGGATGAGAGTGGGTCGGAGTCTCTTCCGGCGTCAGATATGCCAGATATTGACGTGGACCAGGCAAATGCGACGCCGGTCGCAAATTTTGGCAGCGGCATGGCAGGTGCCAAGCAGTGGCCTGAGATCACGATGATTGCTTTAAGTCGTATTTTGTCGGTCAAGCAACTTCAAGGCATGGCTGTTGTGAAACCCATCGATTAAGAACCGTTTATTAATTATTCTTGCAATCGTCATAATGCTAATAAGTTATCATTATCAGAGCAATAGTAATAATAATCGTTATCAGTTTCTGAGCACCCTGACCAGGTTCCATGCTGGCTGGCCCAATCCGTGTCAGTACACATTTCTCAGGTGTTGGATGTGCTGAGCAGGCGGTCGAGCGTGTGCACAAGGCCTTCCAAGAACTTCTTCTGTGTAAGTTCACCACGCGGGCGGTCGCCAAGAGATCGACTCTGCAGTTCGTGTCTGCGTGTGACTTATCACGGGCCTGCCAGAATCTTTTGATGGGTCGGTCGGAGCATGTCTTTGGAGATATCAGGGATGCCTTTCCGACTCTGGAAATGCTAGGTCCTGACCGGCCGGTCGCAGAGCGGTGGGCACTGGCCAAGAGAGCAGCCGCCAACGTCCCAAGAATATGTCGGTGTCATGTTGCATGCCGGCCACCACCCGTGACGGTCGACATCAGCGGTAGCCCATGCCAGCCATGGTCGAGAGCTGGACAGAAGAGGCGCTGGACCGACGGTCGGTCTGACCTTCTCCTGCTATGGGCAGCCCTTATGTTGAAGCAGGAGCCGCCGGTCATACTGCACGAAAACGTGTCTGGCTTTCCCACGTCGGTCCTGGAGGATCTCATGCAGGAAAAGTATGTCATTCATCACTTGCGGGTCGAGCCACACCATGTGGGCTTCACCTGTGTGAATCGACCACGGGTATATTCCGTGCTAGTACATCGGTCGAGAGCGTCGGTTGCCGATATCCCGACGGTCTACCATTTCGTGACAAGCTTCTTCAATTCCGTCGGTGGTGGACTGTCCATCAGAGATTGTTACATAGGGTCGGTCGAGGAGACTCTAGAAGAGGAGAACTTCTGTCGCAGAGCAAAGGGTTTAGACATGGTGCAGACGCCAAGCCGGTCGTGGGAATGTCTGCTGACTGAGCAGCAGCAGAAATACTTGGCAAAGTACCGTGAAACTTGGCAGCAGTGCAGGTCTGACAAAGAGCAGGAGCCGGTCTTTGATCTCAGCCAAAACCCTGCACGTTTCCTTAAGATGACTACAAAAGATGGTCGCTTGCCAACTTTCCGCACGAATACGAAAATTTGGGTGGATGGTTTGAGCCGATGGCTTCTGCCGGTCGAAATGGCAGCAGCAATGGCAATGAACTATGGGGTCCTGGGGCAGCCCAACCGACAGCAGGTCGGCAACGGAATGCATGTGGCCAACTGTGGAGTAATGTTGGCGGTCGCCTTGGCCTGTACGCGTTGAAGAACAGTGCGGTTAAAAAAAATGCAGTGTGGTGCAATGCCCAATATCTGATTGGCACACTTGCTCCATGATTCATCCTGTGCCACGTCGGTCGTGCCTATTTTCAGTCAATCTTAATTAATGTCGTTTGCTCATTGCCAGGCAGACGTGGTGAGCCCTCCTCTGAGAGCAGGTCGACCAGGTGGATGACATGGTACGACCATGCCGTCCAAATGGTCCGTGGCTGCTGGTTGGAAGACCAGACACAGTGCCGGTCCTTCAGCTTCGCTGAATCTTCACTTTGCGTGCCTCCTGAGTGTACAAAGGAGTTCTGGAGCCGTGGGGCAGCTCGAATGCGAATCCCTCTGAGAGGTGTTCGCATTGGAGCTGCCCCACGGTTCCCAAGCAGCTCAACGAGAAGGCTCTGTAGCCTACAGAGCCTTCTCGTTGAACTGCTTGACCGAGCATGTTCGACATGCTGATGTCAAGGTCATGTCATTGAAAAAGTTGAGTTCATGTTATAGGCGTTGTTTTCACACAGCCGGTCCATCATGTGGCTGGACGATTGGGCCAATCGTCTCAACCACAAGCCGATGGACCGGCCGCCAGGTTCGGAGATGGCCTTGACAACGGTCGTAGACATTGAAGCACTGGGGTGACCACATCGCTTGCCGGTCGACTTCCGTCCCGGTGCATTCCTGAGCTCGCCGGTCGACTTCGGTCTCGGCGCTCAGCTTGCCGTGGCCTTATGGTGGAGCGCAAACGAAACAGTATTTTAAGTTCATGTTAGGCGTTGTTTTCACTCAGCCGGTCCATCATGTGGCCTTGACGGCGTCAGTGCAGCCCAGAAGAAAAAAGAGCTCGAGGCTCGAGCTCTTTTTTCTTCTGGGCTGCACCCCGAGCTAGGAACTCGATTGTGCAGAATCAGGCGGTCGACTGCTCAAACCGTGGAAGTCGATTGTGCAGAATCAGGCGGTCGACTGCTCAAACCGTGGAAGTCGATTGTGCGGAAAAAGGCGGTCGACTGCTCAAACCGTGGAAGTCGATTGTGCGGAAAAAGGCGGTCGACTTCTCAAACCGTCTAAGTCACGACCCTGTTTTTTGGTTTATGCCAAAGTCGTACAGCTCAACCCTGTTATAACCTTACTTACTAAGTCCCCTGATCCACTAAGTAGACCCTAAACCCCAAGTTAAACCCATAGATCCCTTTAAGGAACCCTATAGATCCCTTTAAGGAGCCTTGTAAGGAACCCTTACATACCATAAGTCCCATGATCCTCCAAGTAGAGCTCTGGGCCTTCGTGGAGTCCTCTCAGGTTACCGTGTCCCTGCCGGTCTTCCAGCAATTGCAGTCGACGGAGGATGAGGACGGTTTAGGGTTTAGGGTTTAGGGCTTAGGGCCTAGGGTTGAGGGTTGAGGGTTGAGGGTTTAGGGTTTAGGGTTTAGGGTTTAGGGTTTGGTGAGGGCTACGGGCTTAATATAGGGGCCTTAAAATATTCAGAATAGGGTATTGTGGCCCATTGTACTATAACTATGACATGGAACCCCCAAAATAGTGGAAGATGAGGTGAGGGCCACTCTTGCTTTAGGGTTTACTCTTACATACTAGATTTTTAATTTTGGAGCTTACGTACTCTTCTCTATTAGAGTCCAGGACAGTTTAGGGTTTACTCTGACCTGGAGTGGCCCAGTGCCACAGACGTAGAGTATTCGCAGGTCCAGTCGGCTCTACTCGGATTGGCTTTTGGTTCAATGCTGCCATGTGGGTACGCACAGCCTTGGGGTTATAGGTTCAGGGCCCAGGGCGAATTGACGTTTTGAGGGTGTGCAGACCGACTGAACACTGGGGCTGACAAAATCAGAACACTGCTTCAGGCTAGGGTTTGACACCTAAGCGTCCACCCGTTTAAACAACACGGTTCACCTATGCCCAACATGCGCAAAACAGGAAGTCCGAACGCGCTAGGCAGCGAGGCAACGACGGCCAATTTGACACCAAACCCTTTTAGATGCAAAGGCCAAAGTCCACAAACCCCAGGACCCCAAGCTCAAACTTTTTATACCTTACCCTAAACCCCAAACCCTAAACCCTAAACCCCAAACCCTACACCCTAAACCCTAAACCCCCCTTAACCCCCGAACCTAGTCCCGAAACCCTTAGGCTTCAAAGCCCAGAAGGCGCCATCACCCCTAAACCCTTCAATTAGAGGATCCTTAAGGGGAGGGTGGCACCATAAGGGTACTATAATAAGGGTTCCTTTAAAGGGGTCCTTATAATAAGGATCCTAGGGGTTAGGGTTTAGGGTTTAGGGTTTAGGGAAGAGGGAGGGTGGTTCAAGGGGGGAGGGTATAAGGAATCCCTAGGGGACTGTAAGGGAAGCTTAGGGAGTACTAGGGAGAATTAGGGATCACTAGGCTATATACCCCCCCTTGGACCCCCCTCCCTTAAGGATACTATAATTCAAGCGACCGAAGCTTTGAGCCCCAAAGCCTTCACGCGGTTCAGGGCATGGGGTTTAGGGTCTAGGGCTTATGGTTCGTGGTTTAGGGTTTAGGGTTTACGGTTTAGGGTTTAGGTTTAGGGTTTAGGGTTCAGGGTTTAGGGTTTAGGGTTTAGGGTTTATGGTTCGGGGTTTAGGGTTTAGGGCTCCTTGCAAAGACCCTCAGAGCCCCTAAGGGTCCGTGCGCTCAGACAGTATGAACATTGGCCTTAATGTAGTCCCCGTTTAGGTACTTGAGGGCCCAACTAAGTCTATGCTATATGACTGCATGGACACTTAGGGAACCCTCGACCCTACCTGGAGTAACCAAGGTACCAAGGTTTCAATAAGAGGCACTGGATTTCGGATTCAATTCTAGAATATTTATATGTATATGTATATATAGGAATCTATATATATATATATATATATATATATATATAGGGACTACAAAGGATGCGTACTCCGGGCGAACAGCAACTTCTTTTGGATAAGCCTAACTTTATTGGTTCGGATCCCATGATAAAACGCTCGAGTAGCAGAAGCAGGTCCTACTGCCTAGACCCCCCAACTATCATCTCCCAGTACCACTTTTCCGTTCTCATCATGCTGATAGTGCGAGGACGCCTTGCCGTTGATCATCGGCTCCCGGTGGAAGATTTCACTTCCTGGCGTGCTCCGCTCCTCTCGCTGGCTGTGGAACAGCCTTGCGGCGATTTCGAAGCGCTTTTGGCACTGCGGGCGGAGGTTAACTTCCCCGACAGTCGTGGTCATACCCCTCTGGCTTATGCGGTCTTAGCCTACTCGCACGCTTGCACCATGCTGCTGTGACGGGCAGGTGCCTCGGTCGCGCCGGACACGGGACATTGCCCACTCCTGTTATCCGTGGCCAAGAAGCAGCGTGAAATGGTGCATATTCTGCTACATGCGAGGGCGTGCCCCCATCGGTGTGCCCTAGCAGGCAGCCTTCGCGGGATTTCTCCGCATGGTGTGGCGTGTCAATGGGACGACTCAGAGACTATGCGGGCTTTCAGAATGCACCCTCTATTATACCCCAAATTCCCACTAGTAACGACCATAAGGGCTCCATTAAATTGCCAAAAATGGGGGGCTTGGTAGTCGCCGGATCCGGGAAGACAGACTGGTAGGCCATGAAAGACCTCTAGAGAAGCGCCTCATGCCTTAATTAGCCGCTCTACTTAGAGGTACTTAGAAACTATTTCCAATTTGTGGTTCTTGTAGTCCTTAAGAGACAGCTAAAACTACAATTTTGGTGCTGGGGGTCCAAGTTCGGTATAGTCTGAAGCTTAAGCATTATATATTGCCGTCACAACAACCCTTCTGCGAAGCCCACATTTCCTTACCGAAACCCAGTTTCCTCATCCCGAAACCCTTTTCAAACCCTATGAGCCCCAAAGCCCCAAAAGCCCGAAGGACCCAAAACTCTGAAGCCCTAAACCCTAGACCGTAGGCCTTGAACCCCAAGCTCATACTCCCTAAACCCTAAGGACCCAAAGCCCTAAAGCACTTACAGTCTTGCACAGGATCAGCCCGTGAGTCCGTCACCCGGCGCGCACAGATCCGGTAGCTTAGGGCTTCGATCCGGCTCTCTCTCTCTCTCTCTCTCTCTCTATATCTATATATATATATATATATATAGGTTTAGGGTTTTGGGTTCGGGGTTTGAGGTTTAGAGTGTGGGGCTTATGGTAGAAGTTTGAGGTTGTTTTATGGTTTAGGGTTTATGGTTTGATGTTTAATGCTGAGAATGACAGGGCTACGAAGAAATAGAACCTTGAAGAGTCCACAGGACGCAGTGACTAGGTATTTGAGTTCATTTCAGCTTGGTAAGTAGAAACCTACTTGATTGAGAGAGTATATGACACTTGATAACGACATGTCGTTGAGTATTTGGTGGAGCATCTGGTACCTGGTAATCAGTTACGATACTTGGACATGTAGGGCAAAGGACGCAAGAAGAGTAAATATACAAGGTCGATATGCTGTCAAGAACCCCCAAACCCTGTATCATCATATACTCTCCCAAATGCTAACCTGCTCAGCTATTATCCTAAACATCAGTACGTAATGACTAGGTCCTTTGGACCCCTGGGAGGCAGTGGAGTCGGAATCAATGTTCATACTATCCTCTTTATCGTCCTTGACATAAGCTTACATAGTATACACTCCCAAACCCTGGCCTACTTCCTCCTTACTTAAAGGACCATGGGACATAGTAACTAGGGATATAATTAAGGTAGCTATACTGATCACTACTTATAACCCCATTTAAGGTACTTATAACCTTGCTTACTAAGTCCCATGATCCTCCAAGTAAGGTCCTTGCAGTGGGCTGTCGGGTGTTTAGGAGATGTGGGGGATTGGGACCTAACTTGCGGCCTGGGTTTGAGGTTTAGGAGTTTAGGGGTTTAGGGTTTGGGGGTTTAGGTTTATATAGGAGTTTAGGGTTTCTGGAGTAAGTCCTTACATAAACCAGCCATCATAGAAAGTAGGGGGTTTTAGGTGCGGCATGCGGTCGATTGTCTACGTAAACCCTTAACTACCCTCCACACCCACAACCCTAGGCATCTGAGGACTCATATATTATTAAGGCTTTTGGGCCCGAAGACCGTAGTATATCAGGCTTTTGGGCTATGTTGATGCCCACGGCAATGAACCTGGGCTTTGGAGTACCATACTTTTATACTTTTTTCTTAAGGGAACCATTACGAAATAAAAGTTTCTCCTCTTTTCTCCCTGGTTACTTAAAAGCCCAGACCCATAATGAACGACTTTGTGCGATTTGTCCTTTTGGGGGCCGGGGGGTCGGGGGATCCTGGAAGAGTCTGCTGGTGACTTAGGGTTTAGGGTTTAGGGTCCAGTATCCTCACCGAGGGTGGGGCCTAGAATGATTACGTAGTTTTTGTGGCCCCAAAAGGACATAAACGACATAAACATAATCAAGCATTTTACTGGGATATCCCTACCTTATAGTGCTTCAGTATCAAGTGGTTTAATCCCTTCCCCTATTATTAAACCCTCTTTCATACAACAATTTTCGGCCCCCGGAATTTCGCGGTTTCGGGCCACAATTGAAAGTCAATTAAAAACATTAGGGGGGAGTGCTAGGATTGTATGAGTTCTACTATAGAGCCAAAGATTACAGCTGTACCAAAGACAGTAGAGCTTTAGGGTTTAAGGGTTTAGGGCTCAGGGCTAAAGCTTGAGGGCCTGGGGCTTTAGGGCTTAAATTTAGGGCTCAGGGCGGAAAAGAGCCAAAGATTACAGCAGCACTGAAGACAGCAAAGCTTTAGGGTTTAAGAGTTTAGGGCGCAAGGCTAAAGCTTTAGGGCTTGGGGTTTTGGGGCTTAAAGTTTAGGGCTCAGGGCTTTAGTGTCACTTCCACTCATACGTGGATGCACCGAACCGAAACCCCCTTAAGATAAAAATTAAACCTCCGAAATCCAGTTTCAATATTAGGGGGAGGGGGGAGCCCTTTAATATATTCTGGGGAAGGGATTACATGAGATATCAGTATGCCATTTTTGCTTATCTGGTTTTGCGGCCCCACTAGTTGGTTATAAGACACTATTCTATATGTTCCTATTTTGGGGGTAATTAGATGAGGTATTGTACCGGGCATAGTAGCCTTTGGGACCGTACTGTCGACCCGCTACTTGGAGGGTCGGAGGACTTAGTACTTGGAGGGTCGGAGGACTTAGTAAGTAGGTAGTAATTAGGTAGTAAGTAGGTAGTAAGTAGACTTATAAGTACCCTGAAAGGGGGCCCTAATTGGAGTTATGATACTTATAAGTCCCTAACATAACCAGTTACTAAGTCCCCCCGACCCTCCAAGTACCCAGGGGCCACGCGCTTCGCATGCACCTTGCGAGCACCCCAAGCGACGTCGCGGCCTCAGGGTTCGTCTAACCCCTAAACCCTACTGTAGCCCCAAGGGTCTAAGTACCCAATAATCATTTACTCTCCAAAATCCTAAGCTACATAACTACTATCCTAAAGCCGAGTACCTAATTATTGGGTCCTCTGGACCCTTGGGGTAGGTGCATGGAGCCTTAGGGTGAGAGAAATCAGACAGAGGCTCCCACTCCACAAAGCAGACCCCCTCGCAACAAATGGAGGCAACTCGAAGAAGACCCTCAGGTTTAGGGTTCAGGGGTTTAGGGTTTAGGATTGTATAGAAAGTGTTAAGAGATTGGTTGCCAATAAGTTTGGAGCGACGCGTTTTGAGCGAAAGTTATAACGCAAAGTTTTGACCCAAACGTTTAGAGCAGGTTTCTTTTTTCGGAGTTGATGGGCCGGGGCTGGGACTGAGCTGGGCTGGATGGCCGGGGGGGGGTCGGGGCTGTTGAAACTCACTTGCATTCAGGCATTCACAACGAACCTGGTGACCATAATGGACTCTCTCCAGGTGCGCCGGCCCGAGAGAGACCTGTCTGGGAGTCTATAGGCATTTACTGCAGAACTTGCGGGCAATTATATATTGTGTGCAGGTGCGCCGTCGGACCAAGGAACTCGTGTATATCGCGAGGTCCTCGCTTGCAAATCCGAACCCCGTCGGCAATGTGTTCGTATTGATACAATTTCTCAACTGGCAATGACTGCCTCCTGTCCGAAGGATTGGATCCTCACTAGCTTGGGGTTCGTTGGGGCTGGCTTCAACATCCGGCATCTCTTCCACCCTGGTATTGCATGCAATCGTCGTGGTGCCAATGCATCACAGTGGATGCTGGTCACTACGGTCCAGGTGGCCTCGGCGACAATAAGGCACAGCGGACGGACCGACAAGCAGCGGCCAACCGCGAGTTGTTGAAACGCTTCGGTGTCTCTTCCATCCAGGACAGCAACATGAGAGTCAGGAAAGCTTCGCATGCAGTCGTTCATCTCGAATATTATTTGCTTACGGGCTTCGTGGATATCCCTCCACATCTAAACCTTGACACTATTTTACTGCGATAATTCGAGCAGGAGGAAAATGGGCGCACATCCATCAATTGGGAGCGCCGGCGGGTCATGTCAAGTATTGCAGCTCTGGGAAGTTCGTGCCCCGTGACCATGACTTGCAGAGATTAACGCGTATTCTGACGTTGTATTAGGGGATGCCTTGGCAGGATGTGATGATGATGTTGCCATCATCATTGAGAATCCACAAAGATACCGCGATTCCAAATGGATATTGCGGTGTCGAGCGGAGTGCGTTGACATGCATTGTTTGGGTGACTTTGCTTGGATGTCGCAGGCTATGTGGACATCTTTCAGCCGAATGCGATCGCAGAGCAACTTGTTGAGTTGTGATGATGGCCATCCTGCCCATGCTTTTGCATGGCTCCAGGATCCTGTCAGCGCCACGGATGTTGCTGCCAAGTTGAACGGTGCTCCCTGCATGGAACGGCGGGTGACTGTTCGAGAGGCCGTTCCATGACATGTCACAGCTGGATATTCTTATTACGCGCACGTGCGTTGCATGATATGTTTTTTGAAGGTTGGGCTCGCCTTGGGGCTGAATTTCAGCAAGGCTAGGCATTATACATGCGGCCGGATAGTTCTTTTTTGAAGTCTGGAATGAGCGGCGTCAGGATCGGGACATCACTTTCTTGCGGGTTTAGGGTTTAGGGGTTTAGGGTTTAGGGATGTTTCGGGTGCAACGCCCAATGCCATTCAGAAGCTCTATTATTGCTCCATGAAATGACCAGGACACGCTCGCCATGTTACATCCAAATCCACGCTTAGCCTTGGCCCCTAACACTGTATAAACCCTTATCCCTGAACCCTCGACCCTAATCCTTAAGCTCAAACCCTACCCTCCAAACCCGAAAACCTCCCCCGGATGGCCGGTCGGCCTTAAACCCTAAATTCGATAATCCCTTAGCCCTAAAGCCTAGACCCCAAAACCTGAGCCCTAAATCCTAAGCCCCAGAACCGTTAGTGCTAATTTCTATGATCCCTAAACACTAGACTTTAATGCCTGTAAGCCAAATTCCCAAGCCCCACCTCTAAAGCAAGTGTCCAACTCAAGGCCCTTGAAGGGCCCCTAAGGGACCTCTTAACAGACCCCTTAAGGGACTCTTTGAAGGGAGTTTTTGAAGGAACCCCTTCAGGGACCCTCCTAAACCCTAAACCCTAAACCCTAAACTCTACTCCTTTACAGCAAAACTCCAGGCCGGGACTCCACCGGCAGACATCCAGGCTGAACCTGAGGATGGCTCCGAGGAGGCAGCGGGAGGGTTCTTCTAGGGTTCCTGTAAAAGGTTTTGTGATCTTTAGGGTCCCTTTACAGGGATTTATATGGGTTCCTTTAAAGGGCTTAAAGGGCTTAGGGTTCAGGGTCTAGGACTTAAGGTTTAGGGTTTAGGGTTTAGAGTTCTGCGGAAACGGTTCGATTAGGACTAGTAGGGTTTTAAAGTTTAGGGCTCACGGGATCTCTAGGGTTCCTTTAAAGGGACATATAAAGAGCTCCAAAAGGGTTCTGTAAAAGGGTTTAGGGTTACCTTATACCCTAAAATTCCGAAGGCGGTTTTGGGCTTGAATATTCAGGGGTTTCAGAGTTGAGGGTTCCAGGTTTAGGGTTCAAGTTTTAGGGTTCCGGGTTTAGGGTTCAAACTTGTTTCAGGGTTTAGGGTCTCGGGTTCAAGTTTTACGGTTCTGGACCAAACAGGTGAAAGCTTGCTTGTTCCTGATTATCTGCCTTTTCCCCTTACCTAAGCCGTAAACCCTAATCTTCAAAACGCCAGAACCTGAACCCGTTTCTGAACCTTAAAACCTAAACCCTGAACACCCTTACTTACCCGCCGGCCGACGGCATGGTGGTGGCTCTTCTGAGCCACCATGCGAGGTCATGCGGCTTTCCAGAGCACGCGAGCTGGTCCGCAACGTTCAGGGCCAAAGGTCTTCTCCTGGGCTCCTTACTCACACTAAAACGGTCAGTCGATTCTCTAGACTGAGCCTGGCAGGGCCGAGAAGATCATGGACGGGCTCTCAAAGCTGATGCAAGGAGCAAACCATGGCAACCCTAAACCGTTGGGCAGGGGGAGATTGATCGGCGGCTCGTACTCGTACGTCGTCTGACTTTGGTGTCGTCGCTGGCCATGGCACGAACTTCTACTCGCATCGCCTCCCTGACAACGTGGAGAGAAGGGGTCGTTGTTGATTTTCTTTTCGAACTCGAACAGGGCTTCCTCACTGCAGGCTACCCCAAGAGATTCTATATGAAGGGTTTTGCGGTCTAGGAACTAAGTCTAGGGGCCTTAATAAGTAATTAGAACAGAATAGGACTACAAGGGAACTATATGTGGATATGATTAGTAGTACATACTTATTCCCATTCCTAGAATCTATATGTATGGATGTTACTGTATGTATGTTACTGGATGTATGTATGCATTGTTGTTTGTGTGCATGTTTGTATACCATTTTATCATCGTACCTCTGGCCAGGATGGTATATGGGACCACTGTAACGGGATGGCAGCAAGCCTGGAGAAATCCTTTTCCGTCCCTATATACGTATTCGTCTCAGGCCCTAAGGGGCCAAGTATATTCTCCCGAGCACAAGCCTACAAACCAATTAAATGTGGTAGATTTGTAACTTAATCCGTGGGAGAACAAATGACTAGTGGATACCTGGACTTATCCCCAGACCCGCAGGCTAGCGGCTTTCTTTCAAGCATTGGGCACTGACGTGGGCTCTTTTAAGGAGATGTTCATTGCCTCTTCGAGGGACCTGCTCCAAATCCTTAAACAGATTCAAGGTTGCCTTCAAAAAAGCATTGATTCCTTTAGCCCCTATTCCCTCAAAGGTTCACCCATGTCTCCAAACTCCCTCGCCCGTACTCGCCTTTTAACTTTGAACCCCATGCCCACATCGCTGAACCCTTAATTAAAGCAACAGCTTTGCCTGAACCAATGGACCAACCCTCTAAACCCGAAGCCTTAACCCTAAACCCCTAAACCCTAAACCGCAAACTTGAGGACGTGGCCGTGATCGATTCGTCAAGGGACCCCGGCATATGGCCCCTTGGACTGCATCTTCGTAGGGTTGAGAGCTGAGGGCTTCTTTCAGGTCGTGTACCCGGTATGAGATATGTGTGCACATATGTATATATATATGTACATGTGTGATTTTGGATTTAGTTATTTGCATATGCGGTTAAATGCTAGGCCACTCTATAGTATATGCCAGTATACATGTAAACCATGCATATGTATGTATGTACGTATGCATGTATGTGACAACAACTGTATGAACTTAGGCATGCAGGCATGTAGCTAGGTTATGTATTGATGTATGAATGAATTGATGTGTGTATGGATGACTGTAAGGTTACAGAAAGCGTCACCCTCAGGGCCCGGTTTTGTCGTATTCGTAAAAAACCGAATTTTAAGTGCTGTCTTAAAAAATTATCGCAATTAAAAAGAACGGCCCCGAACGGCGTCTGATACAAAAAGAACGTGGAGCTTATACGGGGAGAAAGGCCTGCCTTCCACCCATTGTGCTCTTGCCTATTGCTTTTGGAAAGGGGGAGGGGGGCGAGGCCAAAACAAAAAGAAAATATTGTTTTAAAATCACTGTTTATTGTTTTTTTTTTTCTTGTTTTTTTGGCCTCGCTGCCTTCCCCCCCCCCTCCCCCCCGCTCTAGGCCAGGGAGCCGGAGCCCTTAAGCTTGGACCCAGCCCGGAAGGGCTTGTGTGTTTCCGAAAATTTAAAGCGCGCGAATCTTTTAGGTTTCGGACTCGGGCAAGATCCATGACAAAGAAGGACACTGCGCGCAAGGCTTGTTTCTTGTCATTCGCAATTCGCAAACCTAGCAAACTTATCAAGGCTGTCCTTCTACATATCATATGACATTGGTATATCCCCTGACATACACAGCCTATGTATATATGCATAGGTGTATGTCAAAGTGTTTATATATATGAATGTATCGCATCACAATGCTTGTGTTTCCATGTGTATATATGATATGTTGTGGCATCCCAAAAACATATGTATATATATATGTATGTATGTATATGCATAAAAACATACATATATATGCACACATACATACATCGATACACAAATACATACATACATAGATACATACATATACATACACATTTATTTTCACATGTGCATATGCATCCACAGAAGAACGTTGTACCTACATACATATACACTCGCATTCATATATGCATACATACATATATACATATATACATATATACATATATACATGTATACATGTATACATATATACAGATATACGTATGTACATGCATATATGTATGCATAGATGGAAGACATATGTGCATACCTGCTGAAATTATTTCCATGAACTTCAGGCCTGTATGTTCAGATGCAGTCATAGGCAATGATTCTGATACATATGTAAAATTGGTGGATGATGGCTCGAAAGTATATGTATATCTTCGTGACAATATTGTGCATTCACAAATCAAAGCATAGGTTATGATAAGGTCAGCCCGCAGAAATATTTACATGCTAACCACCAAATACATTGGGGATTGACTGTTTTCACGTCTTGCTGTGTTGGCGTGTTCAACCGGAACATTCGTTTCTTTGTGTGTGTTTAGTGAAGGGGATCCTCAGAAAAGATAATATTGATTCTCAGAACTGATGACAAGCACTCGCGCAGTCTCTAATACTAGATAAAGCGTGGAGAAGACGACCCAATCCGTCAAAAATGAAATGATGGGCATCCCGGACTGAAAGATGATTCTGCCACTCCCGAAAGCATAGCTATACCATGGGACCACTATTATCATTATACTCGCTCAATACTATATTGACACGTAAGTCCCCAGATAGACATGTGCAGAAATATACAGGTTCATGTGGGGCATGAGGTTGAAATATTTGCAAAGGGTCCCCCTTTGCCCCTTGCACGGGTCGTGTGTTTCGATGGACACACTCGTATTTAGAGCGTATTGATCATGGTTTTCAGGAGAAGCAATCAGGTTGTTTATTTCCAAATACTGATGACGGGCATTCCAATAATGCACATACCCTACCACGGCATGAAGGATAGGTGACAGACCCATCCATTCGCATGAGATATACAATCCATTTCTCAGAAAGGAAGATGATGGGTGATGGGTGTCCGAAACTCTGAGGGAAACTCTGTGGGATAAGCCTGTACCCATAAACCCTGCTCTAACAAAGCATCGCCAAGAAGAATACCTTCATCCCTGAGGCTGTGGATGATTCGGTTTCTAGAGATGCGGAAGACGGGTTCCTAAGATCCCCGAGCCCTTATCCGAGAAAGTGATATAGAACATAATACGAAATTAAATTCGTATTCCTAGAAGCAGGAAGTAGGGATTTATGTCGCGAGAAGCCCAAATCCTTATAGTTTGTATCAGATGTCGGACTCTGTACCTGTGAAGGAGATGATGAACACTAGCCCGGCAAAAAAAACATGACTGGCTTCTGAAAGACTCAAAATTATGTAGGTTGAGCAACAAACCAAAATTCCCAAAGAGCATAACAGGCTTCAGTTCATAATCACGAACAGGTGCAACCGGTTCCAAACCATCCCGACACTATGACGACAAATAATACATGTTCAACTCCCAGCAAGATGATTTGATAGCCTGTGGTAGATTCTGGTGAGATATGATACACGCTGCAGTTAAGGTTTCCAGCCAAAAACCTAATAAAGAAGAATACATCCGTTAAACTTCAATAAAACTTGAATGCGGCCAAGCTCCGAGACGGTGATTAGGTTTCCATAATCCAAAACTCTCTTCTATAGGTTGGAATTTAAAACCCGAAACCTCCCAAGAAGATAAGAGGCATTATATCATACATCCGCCAACTGAAAGTGGAAATATGACGGTTGATAATTCTGCATCCATAGACGTTGCTTCTGGGTCATGGAAAGCCGCAAATCCCTGCAGAGAAAGATGGTTGAGAACACAATGCTCCCAGGAGATGACGGGCGGCAAATGTTCAATGATATTCATTTGCCCTTCACAAAATAGCCTAAAAAACAAAATCAAAACCCAATTGGAAGTATTTTATCCTAAAGTCAAAGCAGAACTTGATGAACAAGTTTACAGGCTTCCTTTTCTCAACCATATTATAGGATTAAAGGCGCTCCATATGCAATCCCCCCTCTCCGACCAAAATAAATTCTAAAAGAAAACATCTCTTCGGCCCCAGAGGCTGACCAGTCTGATTGAGATATGGTATAGACCCAAACCCGAAAGGATACGATGGGGGTACCTTTAGACGTGCTATGGCATCAAAACTACCAAACTTCAGTGGGCATAATGAGATCTGAACCGCAAGCCTCAATAGGAGGTGATAGGACACCCAAATATGAGATGATCGCAAGTAAGCCGCAAATCCCTGCAGAGAAAGATGCTTGAGAACACAATGCTCCCAGAAGATGACGGGCGGCAAATCTTCAATGATATTCATTTGCCCTTCACAAAATAGCCTAAAAAACAAAATCAAAACCCAATTGGAAGTATTTTATCCTAAAGTCAAAGCAGAACTTGATGAACAAGTTTACAGGCTTCCTTTTCTCAATCATAATATAGGATTAAAGGCGCTCCATATGCAATCCCTCTCTCCGACAAAAAAAAACTAAAAGAAAAGATCTCTTCGGCCCCAGAGTCTGACAATTCTGTTTGAGATATGGTATAGACCCAAACCCGAAAGGATACGATGGGGGTACCTTTAGACGTGCTATGGCATCAAAACTACCAAACTCTAGTGGGCATAATGAGATCTAAACCGCAAGCCTCAATAGGAGGTGATAGGACACCCAAATACAAGATGATCGCAAGTACATCCAAAAACTGAAGTGAATACGCAGCGTGTATAGCATTTGCATTATAGTTTACTGGTATGAATATTCACTTTCATATTGTGGCCGTGTCCATAACAGTGCCGCTGTATGTGTGCATATGTGTTTCGTACTGATATGAAAATCAATTAAGATGTACTAAAAACCTGAAAAAACGCTTGTTTACACGAGAAAAGCGGGCCCTCACGCCGATGCACACTCTCAGGTTATATAGTTATATGTATGTATGTACAGAACGGCTCTGGGTCGCTACAAGGGGTGTAGGAGTGTAGGGTTTAGGGTTTGGGTCTAGAAGTTGGGTGCGGATATCTTCAAACCACGCCGTTCTCAACCCGAAACCCTCAAGAAGTCGCAAGGATCTCAAGACCCTAAACCAAAGAGCCGCCCTTTACCCCAAACTAAACTGAACAGTGCGTCCTTAAAAGTACGCATGCATTCACTTATGCTGTACTTGTATGTTTGCATGTAAATGTTTGTATGTCCGTCTGTCCGTCTGTCTGTATGTCTGTCTGTCTGCTGTATGTATGCATGTATGTATGTATGTCTGTATGTATGTATGTATGCATGTATGCATGTACGCATGTATGCATGTATGCATGTATGTATGTATATATGTATGTATGTATGCATGCATGCATGTATGTATGTATGTATGCATGCATGCATGTATGTATGTATGTATGTATGTATGATTATTTATGCATGTATGTATGTAAAGGAAGAGAGAGAGAGAGAGAGAGAGAGAGAGAGAGAGAGAGAGTTCAGTTACAACTACATATATACATATTGTAGCAACGCATATTTCTGCGTATTTGCGTATGTACGCTGTTGTGGACATCAGCCTGCGTAGATAGCGTGATGACCATCTACATACCCCGCTCACATCAGGATTACTACTGCCGACGTGGAACCCATGAGACAGTACTCCATCGACACACTCATCGTGGACGAGCCCATGTAAGGCTGAAGGGAGTTTATATTTGGGGCTTCAGGATTTGAAAATTTGAGGGTTTTGTCCGTCCAGTAAAAGATTTTGTTCGGAGTTGTCTTTTCGTTGCAGGGTTGCATGGTCTGAAATAGGGCTTACGGTGACTGAGTATACTGTATAAGCATGTAGGATGTGCGTTCACCGAGACTAGTGACAAGTTTCCTCGAGCCCACGATTGAAAGATGCACTTGCATGATCCTACGAGTAGTGCTTCAAGTAGTGCCACAAGGAGTCTTTAAGTGCATGTCAGGCCATATGTATCTTGTCATCGACGTTGATGTCCCGCTCGAAGCGGAGCGCTACCAGCTGAGTTTGTGCGTGTTCGGATCCAGCGCAACAGCTCGCAGATTTGCATTCGCCCTTTTTGGGCTGTTGTCTCGCCTGCTTCGGCGTTTTCGTCGACACTGTCGCCTGTGGTTCGTGACGGAGCTGCGATTGGAAATGGACGGTGAAGATGTCGCCGTGCAGCATTTCTCTCTCTCGGCATTTCGGGCATCCGAGGCAGGGAAACGGAGCTTGCTTGCGGCTGTGTTTCGGACCGCTGTTTCCCCCGGACGCCGTGAAGCAAGAGAAGAGTTTGGAAATGTACAGTGAAGACCTGGTCGTGCAGCATTTCTCTTTGGGCATTTTGGGACTTTGGAGACGCCAACCGACGCTTTGAAGGACATAGGTAGGGCACCGGGAATCTTCGACATCCCCCATCTTCCACAGAGTAGCTTTCAGGCTTGAGTAGTAAACTGATGTTTAGCCTATCTCCGTTTGTATCCACTGATCCTAATCATGTGCGCATATAGTATATACATTGGCCTAACGTAGTCCGTACTTATGTACGTTAGAGCCCAAGTATATGCTACATGAGCACATGGACCCTCAGGGTTAGGGTACTTCAAACTGTAGCTACAGCCTGCTTCCCAACTCCAGCGGGAGTAGAGGTTCATGACCCAGAGGGGCCATTTGTACTGCCATTATGGAGTTAGGTCCCAAACGATCATCCTTATTATGGTTTTGGGGCCCTAATACCGCAATAGGAGTGTATACGGAACTTGAGCCCTAAACCCTATAAAACCCGAGATGGGAACCCTTAAAGGAGCCCTTAAAGGATCCCTCTTGGTGAGGAAAAACTCAAAGCCCACGCGCCTCCCAGCCTTTGCAGGAAGGTGCCGGAGTCGCAGAGGTCCTGGCGTACCCTACTTGGAGGTTCATGGGTACTTGGAGGGTCGGGGGACTTAGTAACTGGTTATTTTAGGGGCTTATAAGTACCATAACCCCAATTGGGGCCCCCTTTTTAGGGTACTTTATAAGTCTACTTACTACCTACTTACTAAGTCCGCCGACCCTCCAAGTAGTAGTCAGGGTCCATGTACTCACATAGCGTGTACTTGGGCCCTCAAGTTCCTGAACAGGGACTAAATAAAGGGCAATGTGTTTACTAGACCCCCGAAGCCTACAAAAACCCAAAACCACTAAACCCCTAAACCCTAATCCCGTAAACCTTAATGTATATACAATATGAGTACTTGGACCCTTCAGGATAGGAGAGTAAGCAGAGCCGGCGCAGCTTCGCCCGCCAAAGGCGGACGAGATGTCCTGGCTGTTGACGCAGGGACTCGAGCGCCCTAAATGGGGAGGTCCCATCTATAGCCTACGCACTAAACTGCGCTGATCCTACCAACCGTAATGACAAAACACAAAGAAGAGTACACTGTCCACTGCGCATGTAGGACTCGTTCCATCACAGGCACGAAGTACTCTGGTAGCCACTGCTTAACCTCCAGAGCCAAAACCTTAACCCCCAAACCCCTAACCCTAAACCCCTAAATCCTAAACCCCTATACCATAAACCTCATAAACCAAGCTCAACCACTAGTGCCCTTGATACCTGCGTTAGCTTTGTTAATTAACTTGCAGTCCTTGTCAAAGTCTTGCAGAATCCTCGGAGACCCTTGTAAGATCCCACTACAACTCGCCTCAGACCCATCGTACCTCGAGGAAACGGCCGAAGTTTGCTAAGAGAGCCATCGACGTCACCTGCGACTATCGGGAGAGCCTGGGATCTGGAGTACTGTATAAGGCTGTTTCATGCCAAAATCTCTGGAACATGCAAAGAAAGAGGCCAACCCTCTGAACTAGGGCTTTACTGTTCATGATGTTGATGGGCCAAATATGGAGCCGTAAGGAATATATTTTCTGAGCTCCAGACTCCACCAGAGCAGAAATGCAGGGAGATTCTGTGATCCCATCTGATTTTCACGACGGCCTGCAAAATGTACCGCCGGAGATGCATCTGGGATACTCCCGCGCGCAACAACTTTTGGCAGATTCCTGTTGACGGTGTCGGGGTTTACTTTCACCCCAAATAACTTTACCTTTCTAATGTTTTTTTTCAATCCTCCTCATTGTGATTTCCTTGTACAACTCCTGAAAAGGCCAGGTTTTACAAGGTCCGGGCAGGGGTTGAAGATCTGGCACCAAACTTTGCTTAAGGAATGCGGGGCTCAGGTTCAGGGCGTCGGACCCCTTAAGCCAAAGAGTAAAAGAGCTCTATAACTGGAACTGGGTTGTCTATAATTACAATAGGGAACCCCAAAGTAGAAATTTGGTATTTTTTCAGGCGTCTATACAGCCCAGAAAGTTGCATCGCTCAGGCTAGGGTTCGACAGCCAAGAGCAGGTCCAGGGTCTAGGGATATCTGGGGGGGAGATCAGGTAAGCAGGTTGTAACAAGCAGGGTTCGGAAGGGATTATCCCTAAGGCTCCATGTAGCCATATAGTATATACTTAGGCCTTAAAGGGGTTCCTATATGGTACTTTCGGGCCTAAGTCTTTGCAATATGTCTACATGAAGCCTTGGGCTGTAGCAGGATATAGCAGGTTGCTTCGGATCATGTAGCCAGGTTGTCGGTTTTCAGCCGGGTATGATTAGGATGGGGTACTTGGAGGTTCATGGGTAGCTACAAGTGGAGTTACAAGTCCCCTAATATGGGTTAGAAGTATAGTTACCTTACTTATAACCCGACTTATAACTACCCATGAACCTCCAAGTAATGGTAACTTAAGACAGCCTCTCCGCTTGACCCGAATTAAAGTAATGATCCTAATGAGCCCTTACCGGAGCGTTTTTCCGCCGGGGTATGCATTACAAATCAGATCTGGCCGGTTTGCAACGTCCCCTGAGCCGCTTATGACCATACCCATAGGGCCCATGTATCTAAGTCTAAATTTCATGTACCTGTGCCGAAAATACCCAAATAAAGATTACATTCGTTAAGGCAAAAGAGCATATACTCTATGAGTGCATGAACCCTTAGGCTATGTCCACCCATAGGCTCCATTGTAGTTCCTTTTTGGGCTTATGTCATAGGATTTTTAAATATGAGCCACAAAGAGGAACTACCATGGAGCCATACCCTGGGCACCAAAATAGCAGAAAAGCATTGTATAGGATGGTCTTTGGGCCCACAAGCCTTTATATATGAGTCCTCAGATCCCGAAATAGGGTAAAGGAACCCGAAAGACCCCTTATAGAACCCTTATGGATCCCTTTAAGGAACCCTAAAGGACCCCTTTGTTGGAGTCCTTAGATGCCTAGGGATAGGGTAGCTACCACGAACCTTAGAGTTTCCTACGGATGCCCTGGGGTCCAAGTTCAACTTCCGACTCCAAAGCCCCCTTGCAGACCCCCTAATTTGGGTTTAGGGTTTAGGGTTTAGGGTTTAGGGTTTAGGGTTCAGGGTTTAGGGTTTAGGGTCTAGGGTTTAGGGTTTAAGTAGATCCCCTAATTTGGGGCCCTATACTACGAAGGGTACTGTATAGGAACCCTCATTAAGGGATCTACTTTCTGGATCCTCCCGGGGGTCTGGGCTTGTTGGTGAACGAGGAAATCCTATGCCCGATTGGTTTGCCCCTAATACACTACCCTAAGGCTCCTGGACCCATGCAGTGAGGTCCCTAACCCTGGCCCCCAAAGCCGAAACCCTCCCCTAGAAGGCCCGAGACCCTGTTAGGAGCCTTAGGGTAAGAGTCCTATAGCATATACTTGAATCCTAAAGTACTTCAAGGGGGACAACACTAAGACCAATGTTTATACTATATGATCACATGGACCCTCACGGCCTGGTGGCAACACTATTCCTGGAGATCCTTATTATGACCATGCTGCAACCTACCCTCAAGCCCTAAGTTAGCGCCTCTATATCAGCTTCACGTCGCTATGGAATCTGCTGAAATACCAAATCCTGGGCCAGTCTGGCTGGGTTGATCCCAGAGACTCCGAATCAGTTTGAATGATGAAGGCTTTGTGGTTTAAGGTGATGCTAGGAAGCCTAAATTTTGCCACCTGTACCTTGGGGCCATTCCCTGCGACTATGGGTCAAAAATCATCCGATTTTGAGGTTGGGGGTTGCAGGTGGTACTGTAGGAAGCTGATTAAGAAACCCTGGCCCTGTAACCCCCACATAGTAGGATTCATATAAGGAACCCTCATAAAGGCCCTAGATTTCTTAATCAGGTTCCTACATTACTTGTGTGAGGGATCCTGCGCCAGGGCACCTTGGAGTCGCTGGGAATTCAGGAACAACGAAGCAAAGCATGGGGATGCACGTTGTGCGAGGGTCATTCCTTATGGGCTCCTGTAAGTGCTACATAGTTTAGGAAGGGTTACCAGAAGGGCTCAAGTAGGGACCCCAAAAAGCACATAAGCATAAGCATTTTATGGGGATATCCCTACCTTATTCGCCTTCATTATAAGGGGTTTTATATGGGATATCCCTATCCTCATTTTTGCTTATGTGCTTTTTTGGGGCCCTATCAAGGGGGTTTAGAAGTTTAGGGTTCAAGGGTCCCGAGTACGTACCCTATGGGTACTGGAGCCTGAGGGGTTGCAGACATCCATCCACTTGGACGGGGTAACATGGTCCCTGCGTGCCTTTAGATATTATTCGAGTGTATAGAGGGCTCCGTAGGATTTCTTGATTA